CTCCGCGGCCAGCGCGAGCCCCAGCGCGGCCCGCAGCAGCGCGCGCGCCGCGCCCGCGCGCGCGGCGTCGCGCGGCGGGCCGAGCTGCAGCCACTCCCAACGCAGCGCCCAGGACACTACGCCCGCCGCGTCGACGACCCCGGCAGTCTGCAGCCGGTCGGCGGTCAGCACCAGCCGGGAGGGGTGGCGGCCGTAGGCCGCCGCCAGCGCGCCGAGCAGCGCGCCCGCGCCCGCGCCGGGCGCGCCGGCCTCCTCGTCCGCCGCGGCGGCCAGCCGCCGCAGCGCGGGGCCGTAGCGCTCCACCATGACATTCAGGTGCGTGGGGGTCTTGGCGCCCGCCGCGAGCACGGCGCGCACGGCGGCGCGCAGCACGGGGGCGGCTCCGCCGAGGGCCGCTGCCATGGCAGACTCCTGGATCCATTCTGAGACGTCGTCCGCGCTCTGCGGCGGCCCCTGCGCCCCGGGCGCGGAGCCGGGCGGCGCGGGCTTGCGGGCGCGGAGGAAGGCGAGCAGCTTGGCCGCCCACTCCAGTTCTGGGGTTATCTCCTCCTCGTGCGGCTGCTGTTCCTGCTGCTGCTGACCTTGCTGCTGCTCTTGCTGCTGCTCCTGCCCCTCCTGCTTGTGTTCATCTGCCGCCGCGCCGTCGGCGCCGTTTTGCTGCTCGCCGGACGCATCGTGCATATCGGCGTCCTGCTCCTGCTGCTGCTGCTGTTGTTCCTGCTGCTCCTCTTGTTGCTGCTGTGGCTGCTGCTGCTGCTGCTGCTGCTGCTGCTGCTTTGGAGGCTCCGTGCCTGGCAGGGCTGGGATCTCCGGCTGCGGCCCCAGCAGGTCCTCCCACCCCTCAGGAAGAAACTGGGCAGAGAGGCGTAGAGAAGGCAGCCACGTCAGCTCTCAACAGATCAGAGAGGGGGGCGTGTCGACCTGTCACCCCTGATCAGAAAAAGGGAGCCTGGCGGTGAACCCCGTGCTGGCCTTCAACCTCTGTTCCCCGCCCCACCTGAGCCTGCCACCCGAAAAACCAGGCACAAATCAGAGGGCCCATGCGCCCGAAACCAGCCCACCCACACCCACATCCGACGCCCGCACCCCGCCCCTGACTTGACACCCCAGAACGCATCTTGACCCTTGGACGCACCCGCCCCGCCCCCCACACACCTTCTTGATGCGGCGCGTCTCCCGCGTCTCCGGGTCCACTGCCTGCGCCCAGCCCTCCCTGAGGTGCTCCCAGTACGACAGCCCCATCATGCGCTGCAGCACGTCGGCGCAGAACGCGCGCTGCGGGTGGCCCGGGGGCTGCGCCAGCACGTCGCTCCAGCGCTCCCAGCCCCACAGCCACTGGAAGTTGGACAGGTGGTGCGCGAGGTAGTCGGCCACGCGGCCGCGCAGCTGCGTGGCGGTTGGCGTTGGGGGGTGGGTGTAGGG